GCAGTCCTTATCTGCGAATGTCAAGGACTGCTAAGTTAAAGCGATCGTAACATTGCAGGAGGGTTTGACAGGCTCGATCGCTGCCTCCATGCCGACGTCACTGTGCTGGTGCTGAAAATCGCAGCCCTCAGCCGGACACAGCCTTTGATTCCGTGGCACTTGGAAGGAAGCCGCTTGCAGAAGGCTCATTCAAAAGATCCTAGAATAGAACTCACATTCTTTATTTTTTCTTTGCTCTATTATGTTGTGCTTCTGTCATGGAAAAGAGTGGCCTTGATTCTTAAATTACATGAGAATGTGCAAGCAATCACTCAGAACCCTTGTTCTGCCAAGGGGCCGCTTGGTTCATTCGTTTACTACTAGTTTGCTGCTCCATTAAATAAATGGGGAAGAGCAGGGGCTGCTGCAGGTGACCCCTAAAGACAGCAAAGCGCTTGCCCTGTGCAACACAGTCCCTCTTTCTCCAACCCATGAAGTTCAATTTCTTTCCCTTCAAAAATGTGAAGTGCCTTGTAACACAAAACTGCACAATCTCTAAGAGATGGGGAGATCTGAGGCAGGTAGATAAGGCTCTGTACAGCCACCAATGTCAAGGGAACGCATGGGCAGAGCCAAGGAGCTCTTAGATATTAACAGTGTTTGCTCCCTTTCCCACCTCTAATGGCTCCACGCTATGCAGCATGTAAGCCCACAGTTTCTTGTTGACTTTGTAACGCAGCACCACTATAATCTCCAGGAAAACTTTCAAATGTTCCAGTATTGAGATATATTTGCCATTCCTGGCTGGACCTTTAGCAGGCAGCCCTCTGACAAAAGGCAGGGAGAAGTATCTTTACTTTGGCCCCTGTGTTTGACTGGGCAATAGGAAAGCTAAAGAGGTTGTCCGAGTTGGGAAACCAGTTTGACTGAATTTCTCTCCTGCAAGGTGGAGAAAGAGCAAATGGAAAATCCCCAAGCAGGAGCCAGCGGTGGAGGTGACAACGGAGTTTAGTCTGTGAGTTAAAAGGCAAAATGATTGCACAAAAGATCGTCCCGAAATGCCCGACTGTCCTCCTGAGGCTCAGGAAGAGTAGGTGGCCAAAAATGAGCAGAATCCAATATTTTTGTCCAGATGAGTGCATTCGGTGTTAAGGAAAAGCTAGCAGGGTTTTCAGAAGTGCAACCATGTGGTTTTATCGCCGGAGGCTCCAAAGAGTTAATTAGTAAATTGGTTCACAGCTTTAGAATGAATTCGAGTGTCCTGGATGGACGGAGAAGGTGGCCTGGGCTGATTGCCCAATTGCAGTTCTCAGTTTTGGGCTTAAACTCATAAATGTATCTGGGGGTTTTAGTGGTTCTAGGCCCTCACAACAGACTGATTGGCACAAAACCAGCATTCTGGAAAAGAAAATGCCTTGAACAAAATATCCGTTCAGAAAAGATGCTGTGGAAGATAAAACTGTCGGTCTTTTCCACCCAGAATGACCCCACAATGGGTTCAAAGTAACTGCGACTTTTTTTTTTTTTTTCACATAATTCTCTGGTTTAGCTGGTGTAGAAGTGAAATTCTTCACGCAGAAGTGAAATACCAAAACTTGTGCCATCCTATATACTGTTTGTTTGTTGATAAAATGTCCTTTGTTTCTCTCTAGGAATTTTGGAGGTCAGAAAAAGAGAGCTTTGGATGTTTATCCAGCATGTCCTGATACCGATAGTGTGGCCAGGGCAGTGATTTCTGCAAGATGGCTGGGAATGCAGGAATCCCAAATGTGTGGGCACTGCAGAAGGGCTTTCCTGCAACTTTTCAGCGTGATGAGTTGCACATCACATGTGTGAAAGGATATTGAGACACATGCAAAAAGTCCGTGCATCCACAGCTCATTGCGTTGTGTGGGAGCAAGTGCTGGTCATGAGTTCATCCCAGCTGCTCAGGACTCACTTTGCAGTCTCTTCCTGCTGCCTGCACACACGCTTTTTTCCTAGGAAATCCCAGGCAGAAATATGGAAGCCCTAGTTACATTTGCCCACTCACTGCCAGTGTATTTTACCTTGCAGTGATCTCCAATGCCCTATATTCCAGAGTCTGATGCTCTGCTGGATTCTGCAGCCTAGAGGAGGTTACTCATCCCTGGGCAGACCTATGAACCTCTGCAGCAATTTCAAGAAAGCCAAAATGACTTTAACCAGAATATAAAGAATTTTCTTTGGGAAAAACAGTTAGAAAAACAAAATTTTAGAAATCTCTGTGTAGGCATGCATATCGATCTTATGAGTAATGTTATTAAGAGTAACTTTTGGTTGTTCTCCAGGTATTAAAATTAATCTAGAATAGGATTATTTGTACAGCTGGTCTTTCAAATTCCAGTTAAGCCCAATTTTGAATGCTTGGGATTTTAGCTATATATGTCTCATGCCCTGTGCATTGCATAAAACTAAACTTCACCAACGCAGGGAACAAAAGGTTTTAATTTATGGAAAGAGTAAAGCAAGGTTTGCCATAAAAACCCCACTATTTAGGGTAAAATATTTAAAGCTAGCATTTTTACTGCTGTAATTCCTTTAACATCAAAAAAAGACACACTAATGAAGAATTTAGCCCTGATGTTTTTGTATAAATTTATTGTAGTTTGTATATATTGTATTTAATGTGTTTTGTATATTATCTATCAATTTATTATTATTATGAATTTATTTCCCTGGAAAGACTGCCAGGGAATGGGAAAAATGACAGCTCTACTTCCTCTGCCTGAACAGGGGAAGGGTTAAATGCTCCCAATCACAACCAAAGCAAGCTCAGGGGAGAAAACTGGCTGAAATGAGTAAAACCTTTCCATTATTTTTAGTCACACGGCTCCCACACGGTGTGTCTCCAAACAAGACGTCCTGCGGATGTCTGTGTTTGGTGCCTCAGTTTGGTCCTTGTCGTCACGAGGCTGCGCTGTCCAGCATCTGGGCTTGCACCTTCCCAGCGAGTGGAAAAGCAAAAAGCTAAATATGAAAAGGGAGTGATTTAGCAGATAGCCACAGGAACTGGCATCCCTGTGGGCTCTCACTGCACCTTGCTCGGAGGAGCTTCATGCTGCAAGAGTTTCCGTGCCTTCTGGATGGGAACTCTTGTTTACATTTAAAACATATGGCTAGTGATATTAACTAGCAATAACCAATAGCTAGAAGTAACCCCATTTTGTCCAGGGCTGGCATATTTCCTCTGGCTTGCACACCTCCAGTAGGTGGGCATCTCCAGGGGCTTGCACTCCTGCGTCACTGTGTTCATCTCCAGGAGTGTGCACCTGCAGCCTGGCACTTCCAGCAGTGTGGACCTCTGCAGCTTGCACATTTGAAGCCATGGACCTTGCACACCTCTGGGGAATCGCACACTTTTAGGGACATGCTTATTGCAGGCTCTTGCGTATTTCCACTGGTCTGCACTGTCTTACGGGACTTGCACGTCTCCAGCAGCGTGCACAACTCCAGGAGGTTGTAGTGAGGTGGGAGTCGATCTCTTCTCCAAAATAACTACCGATAGAACAAGAGGAAATGGCCTTGGGTTGCACCAGGGCAGGTTCAAGTTGCACCAGGGGAGGTTCAGGTTAGATATTAGGAAGAATGAGTGGTGAAGCATTGCAAGAGGCTGCCCAGGGAAGTGGTGGAGTCACTGTTCCCAGCACTATTCAAGAAATGTGTAGATGAGGCACTTAGGGACACTATTTAACAGGCATGGTGGTGGTGGGTTTACAGTTGGGCTTGTTGATCTTGAAGGCCTTTTGCAACCATAACGATTCTATGATTCTAGGAACCGGCACGACTCCAAGAACTGGGACATTTCCAAGGACTAGCACACCTAGGAGCCTAGGAGCCAGGAGCCTGCACACCTCTGAGAGTGCTCGGACATCCCCAGGGATGTGCACACCTCCAGGGCTTGGATACCGCCAGGGTCTTGCACATCTCCAGGAGCTTGGATATCTCCAGGGCTTGGAAACCCCCAGGTGCTTGCACACCTCCAGAAACTTGCACAGCTCCTGGAGCTGGAAGAGTCAGAGGAACTTGGACACCCCAGGGGCTCAAATACCCACAAGAGCTCAGACCTCCCCAGGAGCTGGGAGACCCCAGGGACTTGGAGACCCCCTAGGGGGCTTGGACACCCCAGGAGCTTGGACATTCCAGGAGCTTGGAGACCCCGGGAGCTTGGACACTTCAGGGGCTTGGAGACCCCAGGGACTTGGAGACCCTAGGAGCTTGGACACTCCAGGAGCTTAGACATTCCAGGGACTTGGAGACCCTAGGAGCCTGCAGACCCCGGGCGCTTGGACACTCCAGAGGCTTGGACATTCCATGAGCTTGGAGACCCCAGGAGCTTGGACACTCCAGGAGCTTGGACACTTCAGGAGCTTGGACACTGCAGGGGCTTGGAGACCCCAGGGACTTGGAGACCCTAGGAGCTTGGACACTCCAGGAGCTTAGACATTCCAGAGGCTTGGAGACCCTAGGAACTTGGAGACCCCAGGAACTTGGAGACCCTGGGCTCTTGGAGACCCCAGGAGCTTGGATACTGCAGGGGCTTGGAGATCCCAGGAGCTTGGATGCCCCAGGAGCTTGGAGACCCCAGGAGCTTGGACACTCCAGGAGCTTAGACATTCCAGGGGCTTGGAGACCCCAGGAGCTTGGAGACCCCAGGGGCTTGGAGACCCCAGGAGCTTGGACACTTCAAGAGCTTGGACACTGCAGGGGCTTGGAGACCCCGGGAGCTTGGAGACCCCAAGGGCTTGGAGACCCCGGGAGCTTGGACCCCCCATGGCCCCGGCCCCCCGTGCTGCCGGCGCGCGGCTCCGCAGCCCCCGCCGCGGGCGGGCCGCGGCCCCACGGAGGCGGCGGGCGGCCCGGCCCGGCCCGGCCCCCGGCGCGCGGGGCCAATGGGGGCGGCGGCGGCGGGCGAGCCTCTCGCGGGCCTCCCGCCGGCCGCCCGTCATGTGAGGGGGATATAGTACTACGGGAGCGGCGCTCCGCTCCGCTCCGCCGCCGCACGGCCTTTGCGGGGCTTCTCTTTTTTATTTCTTGCCGCTTTCCTGCGTTTTTAGCGCTGTTTTTGTCGCCTCGTCCTCCCTGCCCCGCACGGAGGAGCCCAGGTGAGGACGTGCGCCCGGGGGGGGGGGGGTCCTGCTTGCGGAGCCCCCCGCATTGCGAGGGGGGCGAGGGGGGTCTGTGCGCCCCGTCTGCATCGCGGGGGGGTCCCCGCAATATGGGGGGGACACACACGGGGCTGCCCGCGCCGGGGTTACTCGCGGTCATCGCGGAGCGGGGAAAGGCGCCCGGGTTGGGATGTTGGGATGGAGGAGCAGAAGGAAAGGGGGAAACGGGGAAGGGGGGACACAGAAATCCGAGCTGGCAGCTCGGGGAGCATCGGGTGGGGGGCTCGCTGCCCCCGGCCGCTTTCGGGGCTCCCTGCACCCCGGGAATAAGGCCTGGAAACGCCGGGAAGCGCCGGCGGCAGCGGCCGCTTAATGGGGCCGGGGGGGACTCGGCCCGCGGCTGCTGTAAATAAAGTGTCTCCCCTATATATATAGGGGAGCTGCTGTAAATAAAGAGTCTCCCTCCCAAGCGTGGAGGGAGCTTGCACAAAACGGAGCTTTTCAAGGGTTTCCGCAGCATTCCAGAGCCGAGGGCACCGGCAAAAGGCTGCTGGGTGGCGCCCCCCCTCCATGCACGGGGCACGGTCCCTGCACCCCAAAAACGCTGGCAGGACTGTGGGGGCAAAGGGCTTCCTGCTCTTTCTTTCTTTCTTTCTTTCTTCCTTCCTTCCTTTCTTCCTTCCTTTCTTTCTTCCTTTCTTTCTTCCTTTCTTTCTTCCTTTCTTTCTTCCTTTCTTCCTTTCTTTCTTCCTTTCTTTCTTCCTTTCTTTCCTTTCTTTCCTTTCTTTCCCTCCAGTTTTGTTGTTGTTTTTAATGCATTCCCACTTAAGTTTCTTAGAAATGCTGTTTTTTTTTGTCGCACGGAGCAGTTGCCGGGCTGCTCTATCGCTGGGACACAGCAGCTAGTCCGACCAGCTTAAAAAAAAAATCTTCTAGGAAACAGGGAGCGGGGAAAAAAACACTAAAGAGATTACTCCCAGGCTGGAAGGAGCTGTAGCAATCCGTGTGGGAACCGTGCATCCGCGCACCGAACGGGAACATGTGCCGCTGCTGTAAGCACTTGAGCTGCACTTCGGGTTTCAAAGCAGCCCCCCGACATGACAGGCTGGGAAATAGCCCCTTATCGTCCAGCAGGCTCCCAAGAACGACGTTTTATTTGTTATTTATTGGTTTATTTGTTGTTTCTTTGAATATCCCTTTCCTCGCTTTCCCTTGCTCCTTTTAAACTCGTGGTTAGGCGGGTGGTTTTTAAGCAGAACAACGTGTTTCTGGCAGAAGGGACTTCAGAGCAACCCAGGTTGCTCTTAAAAGTTGGAGGCCACTGTTTTGTTAAAGAACTACCGATTTTCGCTCCAGAAATGCCCATTTTTCAGTGGCTCGGGAACTGCCCTCCGTGGCTGTCACATTTATAACGTGTTTTCAGGGCTTAAGGTGTGGAATGCTTTCTGTAAATGGTTTTAATAGCTTGCGGATCCCTGGCCTTTTATTTTTTTTGTTTTTGTTCTTGAAGCTTCTGGGTTTTGGCCGTGTCTTCAGGCAAAGTATGGATGAAAGCCTTTTAGTTGTTAGTCTGGCCTTTAGGATAAAATATAGCTTGGGCTCGATCCTGCATTCCTTGCATTCCCCACGATCTTCCTGGCTGCTGTGCAAGTTTTGAGAGTGCACAGAAAGCAGATCTGGCTGCAATGTGCCTGGATCTCTTTGCCCCTGACAGTCCCCTGCCTTCCTAAAATGACTCCAGTTACACCGAGTGACACTGATTCTGTCAAAAGAGACAGGGAAATAAGAGCGCTGGTTGTTTTCCGCTGAGAAATGTTGCATAGCGCTTGATAGATTTTCTTTTTTCTTTCTTTCTTTTGTTCTTTTTTTTTCTTTCTTTTTTGCTCTTCTTTTTTCCCCCCTTAGTTTTTACTCAAATTAAGGGTTAGTCCTTTTCCCTCTGAAATCCGTGGATATTTTGATATGTAGCTTCCTGAATGGAAGTAGGAATGACTAGGAAGTCATTCATTCGGATATTTCAAAAATTTCAAATTAAAAAAAACCCCAAAACACTTGGTTTCGGTGCGCCCTTCTCCACGCACACTCATTTTTACCTTGAACACAAACAAGCAGACAGGACTTTACAGGGAAAAAAAGTGTCGCATTCCAGATGTCAGAGTCACAGCAGCCGAACACAAGCTCAGGTGGGAACAGTGCAGATCCAGGATCACTGGAGATGCAGGAGGACAAGTGCTTCTACCTGCCCCACGCTTTGCACAGCGGTCACCAAACTTTGGGGAAAGCAAAAAAAAAGGTGCTTGGGTGAATACTTATTTGAGGCCAATGAAAAATTCTCCAAACCATGTTCTGATTAATTTTTTAAAACCCGGAATCACTCAGCTCTGTGACCTCTGCGGGACTAACTTTCTGTCTACACTGAGATTTAAAGAAAAATAAAAATAGGTAGCACATGTCTCACAAGTACTTTGGCTCTTCTGGCTCTTCACTTTTACTATAAGAAATGATTATAGGCTAAGGTCACAGAACGGAGCCACTAACCTTTGCTTGAACTTCCTCGTATTCAGCACATGTGAGTATTTCATTATCGGTTCAGAGGAATAGCTGACTGACAGGGCTGGCAAAGCAGGAAAATGTGCAGTTTGACTTTTAAGTCTCCTCCTTCCAACCTGCACCTACTTCCTCCGGGTGTGTAAAGGAGGAAGCTCTAAGAAGTATTTTTTCACCTCTATTTCCTATGAAATGTTAATAGATGCCACCAAGGAGCCCTTTAAAGGTGCCGCGTAAAACGTCTCGCTCAGTATTAGCTGCAGCGCTGAGCACAGAGACGGCTTTTGATTTTTCCTTTTCTCCAGAGAAGGCAGAAACGGGGGCTAATTTTGGCGACCGGGCAGCAAAGATGCTTTGCAATAGTCCTCATAACCGGCCCCTTCCCTCCCCAAAACTGGGCGCTATTGACTATTCATGGCAAAACATCCAGAGCGGAGCCTGTGGAAAATGACAGCGTGTAAGAGGCTTGAGTGGCATTTCCTTCGCGCTGGGTCACATGCCTCCCGATTCACACACTCGCACACACAGCCTCACAGGCCGATCAAATGACTTCTATCTCTGCAGCCCGCATGCCTTCCACAGACAGAGTTGTTTTATTCTGCACATATGCAGCTCTGTTCTCCATCAGTCACCTTGAGCGAATGACTGGGGGCCAGTGTTCGCTCCGGCCGGAGGTCTCCGCGTTTGCTCTCTAACAGTCTCCATCCCGTAAGCATTCCTATTTTTCTTTTTTTTCCCCCTCTGGGGGAGGAAAGAAAGGAAAGGAACCAACTGTGCAGTCCCCCCTCCTGCCTTTCCCTCCCCAGAAAGTTTTCAAGGAAATTCGCTGAGCTGGGGAAGTGCAGGATTTGCATGTTTTTCAGAGCAAACCGTGCTGTTTCGGGTGGATTTTGCACTTCTGTTGCTGCACATTTTGTCCGTCTGCAATGGCTACCCTGGCACTATTGCTTGCATGGACAAGGGGCTTGCAGGATTGGGGTTATTCCGATGCGGGGCACCCACGTGAACCTTCCAGAGGTTCGGATGGTCTCTGGACCTGAGGAGATAGGTGGGTGCGCTGAGGAGGGGAACCCAGCGCCCAGCTGGCTTGCCGGGACCTGGTAATTAGCTCAGCACCGTGCCAGCCTTATTAAGGGCAGCGCAGGTGACGATGACGTTGGCACACTGATTCATTACATCTGGAGGGGAAAATCCGCCTAGTAAATGCTGAAGCACAGCAAATATTTTTGGCTCCTGACAGATTGATCCGTGCATTATGCTGATTAGCCTATATTTGTGGAACCGAGGAAGTTAAAAATAAAGTCAGTGGAAAGCTACAAGATAAGGAAGGGATTTGCATTTTATGGCCACAAGCAATAAACTTTTTTTTTGTTTAGGTGGTAGAAATTTCAACTCTTTTTTTATCTTCCCCATTCCCTTCTTTGGCTCTAGGTTTCATTGTTAGGTGAGTGAAAGTCCATAATTTATTTTCTCTTGCCAGTAATACCCTGGAAGGGAGCTGTAAATCTAGAGCACACACAGTTGTGAAATGCTTTCTGAAAGAATCCTTTTGCAAATACGTGGTGCAATCCTGGAAAATGCTTAGGCACTTGCAGTCCTTAGGGGGTGGTGCAGGCATATCAAAGCATGCAGCAGCATGTGAACTCGGAGAGACTGGATGCTTAGAACATTTCTGTGAGCTTTATAAAGTTTAGCTTGTGGAGATAAATGATTAAACCTGACTTCTGACTGTTGCTGTTTTGTTTCCTGTCTTCAGGCTCTTACTTGAACCTTCACCGTGTGGTATATGCTGTTGAGATACTCCTAGGAGATCGTACAGGAATGGTGGATCACTTGCTGCCTACTGATGAATCTTTTTCATCCACAAGATCTTCTCTTGGATACTTTGGGGACATGACAGCAGGGGTGAGGTCCTACCAAATGCTGCCCTCACCCCTATCAGAAGATGACAGTGACTCTTCCAGCTTTTGTTCTTGTTCCAGCCCTGATTCCCAGGTTCTCAGCTCTAGCTATGGGAGCACATCTAGTGCCGAAAGCCAGGACAGCATCTTAGACTACTTATTGTCCCAGGCGTCTTTGGGGAACACTGCTGCGTCTTGGTGGGACAAAAGGAGACTTCAGCCAATAGTGAAGGAGGAGTATTTTAGGTTGCCTGAATTTGCAGTGGATATGGAAGACTCTGGACCATTTCAGCCTACACTTGAGGAAATCGAGGAATTTCTGGAGGAAAACATGGAGCTGGAGCTAAGAGAAAGACCTAAAAGTGAGACCAAGGACTTGAGAGCTTGCAGCCAAGGTTCTGTTGCTTCTGTACAACAAAAAGACCATATGGTACCCAGCGCTAGTTTAAAAGAGAGTAAAAATGAACAATTGAGCAGCTCAACGGAAGGTAGCCAGGCTTCAAATGGAGGAATGTCCCTGGAGAATGGTATTCCAGTTATGCTCCAAATCCAGCCTGTACAGATCAAGCAGGAGTCCAACACGAGCCCCAGTTCTCAAGGACCAGCGCAAGAGAATATTAAAATTGCACAGCTCCTCGTCAACATCCAAGGACAGACATTTGCCCTTGTGCCCCAAATAGTTCAGTCCTCCAATTTGAACTTGTCCTCTAAATTTGTCCGCATTGCTCCTGTCCCCATCGCCGCCAAGCCAATTGGGCCAGGAGGCATGATCCAGGGTCAGACGGGACTCATCATGGGTCAGAAATTTCAAAAGAACCCTGCAGCAGAACTCATTAAAATGCACAAATGTTCTTTCCCTGGCTGTACCAAGATGTACACGAAAAGCAGCCATTTGAAAGCCCACCTGAGGAGGCATACAGGAGAAAAGCCTTTTGCGTGTACATGGCCAGGTTGCGGATGGAGGTTAGTACTGGGGTGCAAGAGTTGGGGTTCAACCCTCCTCGCTCCCTGCTCACTCGAGCAAACAGGTCTGCAGCCTGAGTGAAAAACCATTTCTGGTGCCTTGCTCAATTCGGTTGAGAGCTAAGACCTTTTTCTTCCTTTTAGATGACACAGGGGCTGTGATCAACAGAATAACAGAGCATCACCTGTTGGCAGCAATTGTGCAAATGTCTTAAAAAAATCCATTAGTAGTTAGTGTTTCAAGATGGTCAGATTAAGCTTGTCACTGCAGGCAGCGCCTTGCAGTCACAACAGATCCTGTTGCAACACACCAGCTGCAGCAGATGCTGGGCTGGTACCAGCCTGCAGATGAATGGCTTGGTTGAGGGCCAAATCTCTGTACATCATGGTTGTGCACAGGTCCAGCTGCATGGGGCTGCGCGTGACCAGCCATGGGGCATGATAAATGCATGGGCTTAAGACCTCCAGGATTTCAGGCGACTTCAGGGAGAACGTACTCCATCCCAGGGCTTCTCGAGATGATGTTGGTGACGTTCCAGTGGGCTCTGTTCTCTGAGGTTGTTCAGAAAGGCGCGTGGGTGCCTCTCAAAATTGCAAAAAGCTGTCAGGTATAACGATGTAACCAGGAGGCTGAGGTGCAATTAATGCTCAAACAGTGCTTGAATGGAAGTTTGCAGGTTTAAGCAGAAAGCAGAATGCATCATAGGAAGTCTTATTTTTTTAATACAAATTTAAAAATTAAAAGTTTTTAAAACAGAAAGTTGATTTTTTGGTGGGAAACTTTGGAATCCTGCTTCTCTCCTTCTAATTAGCTGTGCTAATGGCCTGCCTGCTGGCAAGTGTTAACAAAGAGTACCACAGATTATGAGGGAAGCAAAACAATCTGTACTCCCTTGTATTAAATTAAACCAGACTTCTTTCAAAGAATACCCTGCAAGGCTTCTGCGAGCAATGTCTAATGAGGAAATGGGTGGTGATCATGGGGAACGGACGAGGTAAAAAGTAACAGGAGAGGGCTGAGTGAAAATGCAAGTATGTGAGACATGCAGCAATTAGAGATGCCTGAATTGGTTTGAGGGAAAAGGTCAGAGTGGGGCTGAATCCTCTGCACCCAAAGCAGAGTTTGGGCCTCGTCAGAAGGACAGAGTGGATCAATGCTGATTTTCTCTACTTTTTTTTTCTTGCACTTCTGCTTTATGGTGGTTCTACAAACTGGTTGTGATGGTCTTTCCATTGTTTTGCATTGGAGGTGTTTTTGTGAGCATTGCTGCTCAGTATGACTGACATTAAAGCCAGGTTATTTAGCTGACTGCACCCATATGGCAGAGGCTGTTTCGTCCCTGACCTATAGCTGAAGCATGCCGTCCTTTTCTCTTGGCTCTTGGCATAGGTGCAGGCAACAAACCCAGCTTTGCCTTCTGCCTGCCTCCAAGTGATGATGTACAGTGCTGCCTTCTTACAGAGACAGGCTGCCAAACCAAGGGGAAGGTTTAGGAAAGCAATGAAGAAGTAAGGGATGGAGCTTGTAGGCCGGGTTTGCCTGCCTTCTCCCAGCACTGCAAGGAACAGCATGGAGGAAGCGGGATGGCTTCCCACCACGGATGGAGGAAGGGTGCAGGGCCTGAACTTCGGAGCGCCCTGGGCTTTCACTGCAGCCAGCCACTACTCTAAAGATGAGAAACCCACCAAGGATGAGACAGTAACCAACTTGGCCACTAAGAACATGTGTCCTGCCCACAAGCAGCTGCAAGAAGTGGTGTCTGGGTTTGTTTTTTCTTCTCTTTCTGTGTAGTACAGCCCAAACTGGTACCTCTGTCCCCAATGGCCCCAGGCACCGTGGTGGGAGAAGGCATCGTTGCAGGAGCTTGGCTCACTGGTGTACCCAGCGAGGTCCTCACATGCTCCCAGGGGTTTGCACAGCCACAGCAAGGGGCCAGACCCCCTCCAGCTGAGCAACAAGTTCCTCAGTGCTCTGTCGTCAGGAAAGTGTGTTTACCTTCTCTGGGTGTTCGGAGAGAGCTGCTGCCTCACATGACTAAGTCAAATACGTCTGGAATCTCAGTTTTATACTATCTCGAATGAATTTAAGTGCAAAAACACTGCTGGGCTCTGCTCCATCTCCCCTCCCCCCCTGCATTCTTGCGCTTGTTTGTGTATCTATTTTTCACCAAAAACACTTAAGACTTGAGCTCTTGGAATATGGTAATTTAAGAAACAAAATGTTGCCTAGGAGAAAGCAGCGGAGTTGTGAGGATTAACGCTTTGTGGGCGCCCTGGGTTGGGGCCTAATAGCTAAGTCATGGTCTGTTCCTTAAGCGTAGAGGTGTGCGCCATGGAAGCCTCGGGGAGCACCAGGCCAGGGGCAGCGTCGTGAGCTTCGTGGAATAACAGAATCATAGAATGAAGGAATATTCAAGGTTGGAAGGTTCAGATGATCTCTAGAGATTGTCTTGGGAGCTTCTCTCCGAAGGCGGCTGGATTCCGCTCGCCTCTGCCCTTCCTGGTCCCGAGGCGGGCGCCGTTCTCAGCTGAGGGCCTGTGTGGAGCTCAGGACCGGCCAGCGACCCGTCGCGGGCACAGTCCCGCCGTCCCGCTCGGCCTGCTGATCCGTGGCCGGCTGGCACGGATCCGTTATGACGCTGGCACATGACGGCCCCAGAGGCAGCCTGGACCAGCAGCCAGGCTGGGCTGTGGGCCCCTTGCGTGTGGCCCTCCCTGGCACAGCGTGGTTGATACCAGCACTACGTTAGGCCATGGCCTTGAAATGGTCGCTGTGAGGTGCTGTGTGGGCAGCCATGGCTTTTGGCCTCATGGTGCTTGGGCAGAATGGCCCCTTCTCTGTGGGGGAAGAGGGAGGATGGCGATATCTCCCCTTTAACCACTCTTGGAGGTTGTTCATTGCAGGCCCATACGACCTCTGCCTGCTTTGATAAGCAGGATTTAAAGCCTTATCGCGCTTGCAGCCAGCAGGATGTGGGACTGGCCAGGCGCTGTGGTGACAGTGTGAGCTGAGGTGTGCAGTGAGGCAGGGGCTGGGGTCCCGTGCAGCCCTTCTGCTGGGGCTGCGGGGGGCTGTAGCTCTTGGCAGCTGTAGGAGTTTGCTGGAGCTTTGCCTTGCGGAGGGGCAGGATGGAGGGAGGGCTGCCACCTTGTTGTCAGACTGGCTGGAGAAGCAGCTACGTTGGAGGAGGATGAGGTGACCAACTTTTCTTCCACTTTGAGCCACACAGTTCCATGCTGATATGGCTGAGAACCTGGTATGTTGGAGTGTTTGTCTCCAAGGGACATACAGTGACATATGAGGTCCCACCAGACAGAGGGGTGAAGGAGACTCTTCCTCTTGCTCTAGGGTTTCTCAATTCCTCCTCCTTTTTTTGGAAGAAGGAATCTATCTGGAAATGGGCATGCGTTTGGCTGGTTAGATGTTCTTTGGGGGTACCTCATTTTCATTTGAATTTGGCAGTCCGCTGGGGATTATTTACTCAGTTCCTGGGTTGGTTTCAGTGCCAGAACGTGCTGCAAATATCATTTAGCCGCCCCCTGCAGAGCCTGGCCACCAGATCCTCCCTGGCTTCCTTGTCCTAACCTTTGCGTTGTTTTCTTGTAAACACACTGACAGCTTGAGGTTTATTTCTGTGGGCTCCGTAAGTTGATCTTTCCGTGACTGCTGGGGAACAGTGTTGCAACATTCCTGCCTCTTCTGCTAAGGACATGGTTGTGAGGCAGAGTGTATTTTTATCGGATGAACTCATTCGAGCTCCCAGGGATGAGCAGAGCTGCTCATTCCTGATATGTGCTGCTTTCTCTCCCGCCATCCGCGCGATTCCCATCAAAATGCATTGGCAGCTCTCTTGTGCCAGGTTGGCCCTGCGCTACTGCACTTCTCTTGCAGATGGTGACCTTAACAACTATGGATATGGGACAAGGCAACCTGGCCACAACTCATGTTCCTCTTTCTCTGAGGGACAAATCTTTACATAATATAAGAATGGCTTTTTGCAAAGGAGCTTTTTGTCCACTCTGACTCTTCTTCTCCTGGAAGTGCCTCCCCTAGCAGCAGATCTGCTCTTGTCCACTTTGGATGTGGAAGTCCTGGTGAGCTGGTCAGCATAAACAACATCGCAACCTCTTCATAGAGAGCTGCTCACAATGCTGCTCATTTGGCTCTTTTACCTTGGTGTTACCAAAGCAAGGACCAGGTAGAAAAGCAAGGAAAATGGGTAAAGGTATTTCCTCCAGAAATGTCCCTGGGAAAGCTGGATCCATACTGTACCTTCCCCAAGGTTGTGTCTCTTTGCACTGGCAGAGATCTCTCTGTGTAGCAGGCACCACGTTGAAGACCTATGGGAACCAAAAAAGCCATTCTCAGCTTTCCCAGTGACTCCATCCTGTTCCTTAACTGGTGGTGAGAAATCGGTGCTAATTAAAACCTTTATATGGAAACTTTATTTTTCTGGCATGAAGGACTTATTCAGGGGAGCCCAGTGGTCCTGTTTTTCCCCTTTCATAAAAACGGCATATTCATCCCGTTGGTGATGTGATATTTTGCTCCAGAAGGGCACATTTTTCTACATGTTCTTTCCTCCATTTATTCAGCAAGTGCCCATGACTTCATTTATTTATGGTAAATAAACAGCTGATACCATTTCTTGCAAGCTCCCTTTCTGTGCTGCTCTTTGTTACTGTTCTGGCAACAAAACACTTAACTCCCCTTTGTTGAGCAGCAATTTTTTTGCACCGTCCGGACAGGGCTGTCTTAGCAGGGCATCATTAACCCTGTGACTTCCAGTCAAGCCCAAGCTAGAAAAAGAGCTAGCTCTACTGCTAAGACCTTCAGATTAGCAAGTTTATTTGTGTTCAGTAAAGCCTGTGAGATCCATGATGGCTATTTTGGGGATTTTTCTGTGGAGACTGAAGGTGGGAAGACTCTTAGGAGACAATTTGGTTAATTCAAGGCTCAATCTTGATTTTAATTTGCCCATGAAGTAACTCTTTTAGTGGCCATGGGGGCCTGCCTGGATTCCAGCTGTTATAACGCTTAGCGTCTCTGACACTGAGATGCTAATAACTCTTTATTTAGCCAGCAAGAGAACATACAAAGGCCAGTGTTTTGAGCTGGATCTGATAAGGCAAATAGCTTCTGAGTAAATACGGCTGGCTGTTATCTGGGGTCCATCTCAAATTAGCCGCAATTACTGGATATGCTGTTGTACTTGTGTCAGTGCGAGCTTGGAGCAGACCTCACCTGCGGGATGTTGTTATCTCTGCTTGACAGGATCCATGCTGGTTTTGCAGGAAAGAGATTGCAGGCCGGGCTTAGGAGGAGTCCTGAATTGGTGCTGAGGATCAAAAGCAGCACTGTTTTAGTAGAGTTGTATCCATGTTATTGAGGATTGGAGCAAGAGGCACAAACATTGCCTCTATGCATTGCTCTTGCTGCAGAATTTACGTAAGATGAGGTTGTTAATTGTGCGTTTCCATCGCTGCTGATGTCTGCTGATTGGGACCAGACGGTCTCTGTTGTGTGTTCTCAACTCTTTCATTTGAGAGTTTGGGCCTTGCTATAAGGAGAGTCTCCCAGCAGCCTGAGGGGATGTTATGTGACCGTGAGAAAATTAGCAATGCAAAACATCAGTTATTTGAAAATGCTTCTCTTTTCTTGCAGGTTCTCCAGGTCAGATGAGCTGTCCAGGCATAGACGCTCCCACTCGGGGGTGAAACCCTATCAGTGTCCTGTCTGTGAGAAGAAGTTTGCTCGAAGCGACCACTTGTCCAAACATGTCAAGGTGCATCGGTTCCCACGAAGCAACCGCTCCGTCCGCTCTGTGAACTGATGGGTCCCGCTTTCCCCTTCCCGCCCAGCCGTCCCAGAACAGCCGATGACAGCACTTTTCTCACTATATTTCTAGTGATAATTTATTTGTCTTCACACAACAGTCAATGCTGTTACCTGATACCACCACGTCTGTGTCCCATGTCCTTCTAACACGATTTGAGAATGAAGTTCTCTTGGGTCAAGGGAGGGGGGTGTTTCTTCCCATTTGTCTTTTTTTTTTAAAGATGTTAATTTCCTTCTATCTTTTCCTCCTTTGCTGCTGCTTCTTTTGGAAATTACAGTGTTTTATTTTTAGCTGTTTTCTGCTGCACAGGAAAATGTAAGAGTTGCTTGCTGCTAGTTAATTATAGCCCTGGCATTCCTGAGGGCTTTGCTCATGTACAGGCCATTCATTGTGAGTTTTTATTAAGCTGCTCTATTTGTCCAGTTTGGAAACAGCAAATTCCTTTTGAAATGAAAACAACTCCTTTGTTTTTGGGTCGCCTGAGACAAGGATTTGTAGGGGCCGGCAACAGGAGGAGGAACAGTGGGAGTCGGGGGGAGGCAAGGCATGGAGAGCATGGAATGCATCTCCCAGCCATTTGGGTCTCTCTGGCTCACACTTACCTCTTCCTTGGTGAGGGCTATACATATATATATGTGTGTGTATGTGGATATGCATACATACATACATATATATTTAAGCAAAGGCAGATTCCAAGCAAACACAGGAGCTTGGGTTGGAGTGAAGGCCTTTTGGTGAGGCTCTGTGGATGCCACGCGCATGCTTTTCATGTCCTACGCTGCCTTTGAGGGTATAGAGAGGCCCACGTGTTGTAGGAAACCCTGCTTTCCTTTGATGCTGGCTTGAAGTGCCACATGCTTTAGCAGAAGGGTTGTTATCTAGCGCTACAAGCTGCAAGAGGCCGTTTATCAGAACTGTGAGGCTCAACTCCAGCCTCTGCTCAACTCGTCTTCTGCTCAGTGGTCTTCAGAGAGCACTGGGCACCATGGGTGTCTACTGCCCACGTGAGTTGAAGGTGCTCAGGCCTTGCTGGCAGGGGCTGAGCATCCAGACCGGGCTCTGTGTCCCCATCCGTCCGCCGGGGTCTCCCCAGACCCACTGGCTCCCATGGGAGGTTGGTAGGTGTCGTAACTTGGTGTGACACCACTGTGAGATCTTCTGTCGAAGGGTGACGTGTTTTTCTTTTCCTGCTGACAGCCATGTCAGAGCTCCACGCAGCTGGGGTGGGCGAAGGGGTGAGAACAGCAGCCAAAAGAAACAAATTTCCATGGTAGCTGGCTAAGAAGGGAATTTAAACAAATACTCAGATGGTAGCAGGCAAGTGATTGTGTTTTTTTCATTGTTTTGTCTCTCCTTTTGAACTCTGGCAATTGTAAGAAGCTTTAGAAAAAAAATAGGATTCAGTAATTAGAAACAATTTTATAATGGATGTTGCATTTCCTTTTCATTCGCAGATGGCATCTGTTTGTCTTTTTGTTGACAAAATGGGAAATAGAACACTGCAATTCTAGTGCTAGGTAATGCAGGAGACCACGTTGTATGTAAGAGCAGTAGGTCTAGCTAAAGCAAATGCATTCCTTCTGTCCTCTAGAAATTAATATAAATGAACTATCATCTATTGACTGGTTTATATCACATCCTATGAATGTATGTAAATAAAACTGTACATAGATGCATATCTATATAAAATATCTTTTAATAACATATCAAAATTTGTGTAAATTGGAAACAAAAATACCTATAAAACCAGTGTACATAAGTTACAATTCTGTATATTTTCTTTTGTTCTTCATAAAAAAATATATTTACTTTGACAATAAAATGAAAATGGAAATTTTAAATTCCTTTTTGAAATTATTATTCATTAATTTCCTTTGTAGCCAGCTCTTTAACCAAGACATTAGTGCTTGGAATTTTGATTCACCTAGACACAGCTTTCAGGTGCTATGTGACAGGGAGACGATGGAACAGCTCTAAATGTGACTCCAAAGATCCTTCTCATTTGAGGAAATCCTGTGTTAAGGGAAGAGTTGCTTGCCATGGTCCACATGAAGATGGGGCCAGCATCAAAGTGCCAAAGTGCTGGAAGGTGTGATGGTCCAGATGCCCCTCATGGGAGTCCTCAAGCCTTGCCTGGCAGCTGCTGTGGGACCCAAGTGCCCTCTGTGGTTTCTGCCTGCTGTGGAGCAGGTCTGCAGCCACAGTTAAGCCGTGGTTAACAAGTCAGTGCAAACAGATTTTGAGGAAATTCAAGCTTTGGTGGTTAGCGTGAGGAAGGGAGCTTTGAGAATCCGAGGCTGTGATTGTGACTCACCTTGTGACCCAGGGCAGAGGACTCATTCACCCAGTGCCTCTGTTGTTCTTCTCATAAAACATGGATATCACGGGGCTTAATATTTTCTTTATGCAATCCTTGGCTGGAAGAAGCAAGCAATAACAATAGTAATCAGAGGATTAGATGGTGAAATAAAGCCTCAGTATGGCAGAGTTCTTGGTGCCAAGGTGCTTCATGTGGCTCTTCTGTAAATCCTGTGTTTGAAAGAGTGACGCTATGGATCTGTGGAATACTTCAGGCCGGAGAGGAGAAGGCATCACATCCTGCAAACACCATTGCTTCCCATCCCTAAGAATACAAGCATGAACATGATGCTCTTGGGATCCACAAGCTGGGCCAAGTCTTGCATTGTGCACTTGGTTGCTTGGCCTCCACTGGGAGAAGAATCCAGCAGTGTTAGTGGCATTAAAATCCCTCCTGAATCTCCGCTGAAGCAATGATGCAGAGGGTCCAGATCTTCTCCCAGCAAGAATGAGCTTAATGGGCACATGGGCATTAAAAAGTCGCTCCCTGAAGCATAGTCACCAAAAAAACACTAGCTCCAAATCCTTGATTGTTTTTTCTAACAAAATCTCTGTGGGTCTGTCAAGAAGATGGAAGGACATGTCAGAGAAAGCTCTGTTCTCTCCATGTTGCTGTGACCTCCTGAGATGTAGCATGAAGATCAGACATCCAAGCACAGTCATTTTAAGGGTGCTAAACTGCTAGCTGTGTACATGCTTTCCTTAGCAAACCTGCACCAAGAGGATCTCCAATTCCCTTCTGTTCTCACCCTATTGACATTTTGCGTTAAACCAGTTGCGTTATTTTAACCAGTGTCTCAGTCTCCTCCCCATCTCCTTTGGAGTTCTGATATTGCTGTAATATTGTGAAATTCACCCTGCAAAACACTCAGGGCAGAAGTTACTATTTCTCTGCAAGAGGCAATGCATAGAGTTGAAGTGGAATAACCCAAAACGTCTGCTCCTGGAGCACATCAGCAGAGAAATCTAAGATCTAAGTTAAGTTTAAGCTTGGAATATTTTCCATAAACACTTTTTTTTTTTCCTTTCTCTTTTTTTTTTTTTTTTTCTATTTTAAGTACACTTTCTGAGTGTGATTTGTGTGGAGTATTTTTTGGCTAAGTAGTGCTTGTTTTCAAGGAAATTTAAGTTTATGTAAACATTGCAGTATTTTGCTCAAAAGACTATATTTTATAAGGGCTGTATTTGTTGTGAAAGGAGAGTTAGTTCTGCATGAAAACTGGTATTTTTTTTTTTCAGAGAGAGGTTTGACACAAAAAAAAACGTAGAAACTTCCAAGTTAAATTTTTGGTATTTGTTTTGGTAGAATAACTGGCCTGCCTGGGCCTTGCTATAAGTCTTGCTGACTCATGGTACGAATGTAGCCTTACCTTAAACCTAATTAAGCACTTAAAGACAAACCTATGTTTGATGCCACAATTTAAGAGACCTTTATTATGTCCCTGGTTCAGTAAGTCTGAGTGATAAAACACAGCGTGGCATCTTTATGAATATGCTTCAGTCTTATTGACTTAAGACATCTACAAGTGGGATTTGGAAGCATAAATGGACATATATATAGTATTACATCCTTTGCATGATGATTGTGATCTGTTTTATAGCAGTTGTTGTGTTTTGAAAAGATTTTATTGGCAATTTCTGGCTGTTTAAGCCTCTACTCATCAGTGCTAATGGTGAAAAACAGTATTATAGGAAGTAAGGAGCTGTCATCTGGGAAGAGTATGTTGGCTGAGCTAAGGACTAAGCACTGAGAAAAAGAGGAATGTGATTTTTCTTCATGGCAACATGGCTTCTGTGACCTGTGGTTACGTGCAGACCAGGGGAGTGATGCGTCCGAGCTGACAAAGCAAAGCAGAGCGAAAATGGGAATAGAACCAAGAAGCCCCGAGTCTCCTTTGCCCCAGACAGTGGCACAGACCACACATCAATACTGCATGGCAGGTTATAGAAAGCAAAGGGTGATAGGACATCTAAGTGAGACATCAGATAAGGAAAGAAAGGTAAAGACGGGACATGAGATAAAGTCGGGTTGCGCTGATAACGTCTACCTTTGGAAAGGATGCCAAGGAGAGAGAAATGAGTTTGCTGCCAGTGTGCTTGACTTGGGACTTGCCCAGGAAAGCTGCCTGGAACTGATTCTGCTCCCCCTACCCCTGTGTCACACCAGGCTTTTTCCACTGGCAACTTGCAGGGACCTGAGGGGACTGAAGCTCGTGAAAGGTGAACTGGCCCTTGGGGCAGGGGATGCTGTGGAAGCTGTTGAGCTGAGCTCCCTGGAGGAGCATTTAAATTCACACCCTGCAACGTTTGCATTGGTTTCCTGCCCTCTCCAGGGGGCTGTTTCCACTGGATCCCTGTGCTGGGAGCCTTCTCCTTCTCTAAATGACCACTGCATTTAATCTAAACAGCCAGGTGACTCCAGCACAAAGCCAGTGGCAGTAAGCTCGTGTTAATAATTACCCTGGGCCTCTTGCACTTATGTAAGCCTGGACGTTCTGTAACACAGGCGCTTGGCTTCAACCTGCCCTTTCTGTCGTGGAGAAATACCAAGAACCTGCCAACGCACATAGAAAGCAGTTTGGAGCGGGCTGGGATTTTCCTTCTCCCCTTCTGACAGCACCTATGAAACTTGTTAGTCACTCACTTCAGTGGTTGCCGTGCTTTGTTTTCTTGTTATTCAGAGACATTGCTTTTAAAGGATGGGTTGTGCTAAGCTCCCGCTGACTTCAGGACAAGCCAAGGACTGTGACTGGCGTGGGTTATCCGGGGAAAAAATCACAGCTAAGGCAGGGACCTCTGATCTTGCCAAGTCCTTGGCTTCTCTTGATTGTTGCTTCTGGGACCTTAGTGTTCTTGTGGCTTTTATTTAGTGGCTTTAAATTTCTGCTGGGGAGGAGGTTAGTTTGAAGATACATGTTGTGAGAAAAACAGATGTTGTGAAGAATCTCCTGGTCTTTACATCTAGTGTGTGTTTGCATGCAGCTACAGCAATGGGACTTAATGACTCTTCTTTTCAGATGTTCCTGTATCAGAGGGTTGTAACTAGCTGGTGCTCAGCATCTTACAGGTGCGCATTTGGGTCTGCTGTGTCAGCTCACTGCAGGTCCTCCTCCAGCTGCAGCTAGAGCAGGTCCTTCATTCCTTGCTGCAGTCCCTACTCAAGTGTTTCTGATGGTTTTGTGGTCAGAATGATTCAAAGCCTGTGTAAGCACTTGCTCTTGTCCACAGCTAAGGCTGGATGAGCTGCTTGGCCCGCTGAGGAGGGCGCTCTGGAGAGCTTCCATCAGCTCACCTGTGTTGCCCAAAGGAGCGTATGTGCTTTGGCCTGCATTTTGCTGAGCCATGGCCTGCTATCTGAGCAGCCGGTGGTTTAGAGCAACGTCTGAGAAGGCTCCAGCCAGCAGGAGCAGAGGGCAGCGCTATTATGTTGTTATGTAAAACGGGAGTGAAATGCATGAATGACGAATAACTGCCGGGAGGGCCGTGATCTTGTCTTGCTTGCACCGATGCACGTCGGGCAACTCTTCTGCTCTTCATATTGGAGTCATAGCCATTATGAGAGGTTACGTTCATCTCAGGTGAACGTGGCCATCTGGAAGGAAGCAGAGGGAGGAAGACAGAAACTGAAGCACTGCACAGTTTAACAGGCACGATCTTGTCTTCTCCAGAACAGAGTGATAGGGCTCCTTCGTGCATGCTATATGGCAGAAGAAGGGTCATCTCCATTAGCAGCCAGTGTCAAAGCAGCCCATGTCCAGTGCTTGGAGGCAATAGCAGCCTTATGGCAGGGGGCTTAGGAGGGGGTAGTTCCAGGCCTTGTGCCTGGGATAGTTGGCAGACATAAAGAAAAAGTACTGGAAACTCTCAGGTCCTTCCTTGTAGAAGGATACTGCTTTTTCCGTTTCTCCAGCTTGTTCCAGAGAGGCCATGAACAGTCTTAGCATATCCCCCCGCTCAGTCTCCCTAAACAGAAATCTTTTTATCTTTTATCTGAGCTCCTTGGTGGAAATGTCTGTCCAGGAATTGTTTTGCATGTGGCTGAGGGTGGCGTCCCAAAAGGAGTCCAGCAACCCGCAGAAAGAAAGGCACAAAGAATTACTGTTCTGTACCTAAAAAAGCCTCTGGCACCTGCTTCCCCTACTGACTCCAGTGGGCATTGGCTAGGGCTCTGCTTGTTATTCCAGCACTAGGGTTGCAAATATAGAGATTGGGCTATTGGGCTGAAAAGAATCCAGGCATTTAATAAACTTGCCTTCCATAAGTGAAGGAGAGATGTGAACGTTTGGGTTTGGCTAAGGTCTGCTAACTGTTTCTGAGAAGTCTATAAAAGGCAGCCAGGTAGTCTCTCACTTTTTGTTTCTGGCGTGTGTTGTTTTTCCATGGACAGCATGTCCTGGACCTTAGAGAGCTGGCTGGAATTAGATTAATTCAGGCCGGCTGTCCCTAGTGGCGGAGAACGCCTTGGGAAGACAAAGGGCTTGGAAATTTCATTATGTCAGAAGGGCCGCCCTGCAGCCGGGGCAGCTGGAGAAATCCCTGGGCGCTGCTCGCAGCGGTGAGTGGGTTCCTGGTGGGTTCCTGGCCTGGAGCCTGTGTGGGCACCAGCTTTGCCGTGCTGATTTGGGGTCTGGCTGTAGCACCGTGGGGCTGAGAAGTGGGTGTGGGTGTCCAGGGAATCCAGCTGCTCTAAATGGTACATCTCAGCCTTGGCTGATGTGAAGACACCTTCTGCTACAGGGAAGGCGGATGCTGGTCTTCTCTCCTGGAAGGGATGGCTTTGAGAGAGGAAGTGGCAAAGGCGCTTGGGGAAGATGAACGTTGGCGTCACTGCCCTGGCTCTGCTGAGGAAGGCTGGGACGGGCTGACGCGCGGTCTGTCCTCTCTCCCAAAGCTGGGTTAGTCATTCACCGCGGCAAGCTGGCCGGTAAACTCTTCCTCTTGCTTCCTAGGAATTAATGGCACAACTGGAGGCTGTTCATTTACCTGCCTCCTGGTACCTTTTGTCTCCTCACAATGTATTCCAGCAGCTGATAAATAAACACACACTAGTAACATATTTCCCTGCAAGAGATCGTGGGTTTTCTTTGGCTAACAACCCTTCTCAAGGACTGCCTGGTTGTTGGAGCACTTGCCCCCCACTCAATATTACTGTCAGGGCCTCGCAGATAATCCAGGCTTGTGTACGAGATCAGTGACACTCATGAAAGTTTAATGCAAATCAATCCCTGTCATGCTTCAAGAAATGATTAGCAAATTAGAAGGGGTCCTGATGACTTCATGGTAGATACCTGATACCCTCTCAGCGATCCCTAGTGGATGGAGGACCACGAATCCAGAGAGAGCTGGAGCCACCCTCTGCACTTTGCTCCTGTGATTTCACCCTAATTTTAGTGGAACAAATTAGCTGTGCTAAATTAATAATAATATTTGGCACTTCTTTATCACCTTCCAGCTGAGGACCACAGCATGCTTCTCAGCAGGGAATTAAGCTTTGCCATCCTCCTGAAGAGTAGCTGCCAACTTTATTATGCAAAGCTAGCAAAAAGATTTAATTGATTTGACCAAGATTTATTGGGGACCTTGTGGCAGAACTGTAGAGCAAGCCCAAAAGCACCACTTTCACCAGCCCAGGCCTTAATCACAGCCAGAATCACTTCTGTGTGATTTTAAGACATACAGATGCAATTAATCAAGCATGATGAAAAGAGAGGGAACCCCCCTGGATAAGACTGAGGTCTGTGCTGTTGATAACCATGAGGGCAAGTGCAAGGGATGGTAAATGTGTTCGCTTTGCTGATGTGTGGGCTCAGTGCAAGGGAAGCTGGAGGAGGTATGTTGTGCTCCTTGAAGGATCCTGGGGAGCGTGACACAGAAGGGTGGCTTTGGGGCAGGAGGGGAACAGTCTGGGCCCATCTGCTTGTTGCTTTGAGTCCTTATGAATCCAGCCTTCAGTGATCTCTGCCAATGGGCTCGTGCTCTCCATTTCTGATGGAGATGACACTTGTTCCCATAGTAAAGTGGTAAAAAATAGAACTTCAGCTTCATTTCTTTTTATTGATGACTTTATAATGTCATAAAGCACCTCTAGGCTGCTTAAGACTTTACCCTTATGCATGGTCAAAAGCAGACTGGTCAGGTGTGGGGTGTTGTGTTTTTTTTTTTTTTTTGTTTTTTTCGGGGGAAGGAGGTGTAATATTTTTTTTTGTGTAATTTTCAAACCATAATGTTTTTTTTTCTTTTTTTTTTCTCCTTTTTTTTCCCCCCTTCCCCCCCCCCCCCGGGCTAAAATCCAACTTGTTATCCCTTCCTATTCATCTTCCTGATATAAATATATATTTTAAATTTGATTATTTTGCTGACCAGGACTCTTCTTAAGCACATTCATTTTAAAGAAAATAACAGATCATTGATTCACTGTGAGCTATCTATCTAGCTGTTATCTATTAACACAAACACTTTACATTGTGTAAGAGTTCCTGATTTGAGAGTTAGTACAGCAGAACTGTCTGATTCAATCTCTGCTGGTTATTATGATCTTCTATTCAGTTTCTGGAACTAGGTAACTTGTTTTGGGATTAATAAACTCCACCCTTCTTGATGAATACTTCTGATTATTATTATTTTCAAGGCACTTTATTGGCTCAGCAAATAACTAGTCACTAGCTAGAGTGATGAGTATTGAGAGAGATTGAGGGATTCTTATTCATAGTGACTAGATATACATAGCCCAGCTATATACTTGGTCTTATTGTGGTCACATAGCTCTGGCAGGACTTACAGCTGGGTTTCATGAGCATCCATTCAGGATTCTGGGTCACAGAAACACTTTTCTTCTTGGAGCTTTTCCTCAAAGGTCCCTCATCAGGTGACATATGTATCTACATTAACACAGAAGGCCTCAGCCTACAAGGAGTGAAGGTCAGTGTACGTGGTGGAGGGCTCTCCATAACACATTTGCCTCTGCTCTCTTCTCCTCTACTTCAAATGACATCTTCAAAAAGAACTGCTTTTGTTGAAACTTCAGCAATTCTTTAAGAAATGTGACTTTCGTAACAAAAGCATAAAAAGCTCAATGGATCAATGCTAGTAGACATTTTTCATTGGAGAAAGCCATTTCCTGCTTGCCTTCAGAAAATACCACCTCAATGTCCTATGTCTACAGCCTCTAAGTGCAACCATATGATAAAAGCCCTTTGCTGTTCCCCTTTCTTGGTGTCAGTCCCCAGACTCCACCCATGAAGACCATCTGAGGGCTATTTTCATACTCTGGGCAATCAGAGTATGCTAAAGAAGACTAAAGGACTCGGTGAAAGTCTTCCTGTGGAGGCAGCCACTACAGAATAATATATCTCATTAGTGTTGCTTATTGGCTAGGCACTTTCATGAGCAGAGGAAAAAAAACCATGAACTTTAGAGAGAAAAAAAAAATGCAGAGAAAAGAGGTTTATATCTTCAAGATCATATTTTCAGTCATTTCTAATCTGTGCTCTCCACAACTGTTTTTGCCAATCAGATATATTGCTTAGGCAACACTAGGGTATGAGTTCCCCTGGCTTTTCAGATGGCGACAGGGCATCGGTGACAGAGGTGACCTCCTTGACAGAGGCAGAAACGTGATGTGCAGCTGTTGACGTCCTGCCTCGTGTTTAATCTGCAAGCCTGCGGCTGCCAGCTTGATAAGCGGCACGTGGATTTGTAGACTGCCCCATTCAGGCTCCAAGTGCAGAGACCAAAATGAGAGAAGGGCTCTTGCTTGGGGGCAGCCTTGGTGCTGCCGCTGAAGACAAGAGCCTTGCTGAAGTTGTCAGAGCTCTGGTTTCACCCTCAGTTTGTACCCGAGCAACCTTCCTGCTCAGGCTTTGCTTGCCAGGGCTAGTGCTGGGACACAAAGGCAATATTGACCGGGCTCTGAGGCTAATCAGAGGCCTTGGATGAGGGCATCAACTGCCTCCTCCCACAGAGGCTGCTCCAATGAAGGGGATGGCAATGGGGTACCTACAGTTTGAGGCAGTCGGGAGAGAGTTTGGGTGCGAATCGCTCCGGGGTGAGCAAGGAATGAAAAGGCAATGGAGAAGGAATGGGCAGATGTGAGTGAGGAACTCTAGAGTAGATATTGGGTTGAGGGAGGCTGTGGATGGACTGGTTGAACCTTCTAGGTTTTTGTTCTTGCTTTATTGTTTTTTGCCTCTTGTGGGAGGAGGAAACAGGGTCTCTGGAGCAGGGGGAAAGGGTTGAGGTTGGAGGGGGCAGAGTTTTTGCTGGTGTTTGAACCCACACAGCAATGAGTTGCAAGGAAGCTGAGGTGCTCCCTAGCCGAGGTGTCTGACCCTGGGTCCTCTCAGCTTTCCATCTCCCTAGGGAGAATGTAAGGCCTGTCTTTGGTTCAATTAGATGTCAGGGCCTAAGTAGAGGGCACATTGTGTGCCTCCTGTTTGTGCTCCTTCCTGGGCCCTTACTCCTTTTCCCTCCTCTCATACACCTTTCTTCTGCTCCCGTGTCAAGCTGTAAAAGCAAACCTCTTGTTAGACCTTCATTTTCCTCTTTGCTGAATAAGTAGGCTGTGCTCTGAACCGTAGAGGCAAACCTTTGGGCTGTTGGGCAGGGGGAAGGTGAGGAGGAGCGAACAGTTTGGCCTCTGAGCTCGAGCATTTCCTAGTATGGGGCACAGTCCAGATTTTTCCACATGTGGGCCGGAGCCCAGACATCACCCTGACAACATGCAGGAACATAAATACAAACAAAAATAACTTCCAGATGAGGGATGTATGCAATGTTTTGTCTTGCTGGCATTTATGCTTGCTTATTTGGCTGAGGATGACAATGAGCCCTGTTTATTGCAACAGGGCAGCGGGAGGGTGCTAAGAACAGCAAAAGTGCCTCTTCAGCTGGGTCTTCATCCTGAGGGGGCAGGAAACTCATGGCAGCCACCTCAGGGAGGCCCTGTGCAATGGTCAGAGGGAGGAAGGAGGCAGAAATTGCCATGTTAGAGGGTCTTTTGGGAGACCCTGAATCACCGCTAAAGGTTTGGGGGCTCTTGCTGTCCCATCTCCTCATGTTTGCTGCTTCTGCTTCTCAAGATGCTCTCTCCTTGTGTCCTCATTCATCCTTCATGCTCAGGTAAGACCAACCCTCCAGAAGTGAGAGCAGCCTCCTCAGGAGAAGACATTTGTATTTTATCTTCTTCACTTGCAAATGATATTTGCGAGTGACATCAAGGTGATTTTGGCTAGGAGAAACTGTGTACAGCCAGATGGCAGTGGGAGCAGAGGTGGTTTGAACATGGGGGTATTTCTCCATGGGGGAAAAAGGGAGCTGTAGCTCCTCATCTTCCTGTAGTACTATTTGCTCATCCCTTCCTGCATCATGTACCCCAGTCATAGGCTACATAGTCCATTTCCAACATCTCCTGTAGAGATTTGTTGTGTGCATACAAAAGATTCCTTTTCTATCAGAAGATAAAAACGTGACCTCTGGTGTATATGTGTGCATATATATAAAAATAGATCGATATATCCCCAAAGACTGTACAAAAATATGCTGCTCTATGCAGTGCTAGGATACTCGAGCATAATTCTGTGCTGCAGCCCTCAGAGAGGTCACAGTCTACCTGGCCATTGAATTCCGATCTCATTTACCTGCAGCAATTTAGGGCAACAACACTGAGGACAGGAGTTTAAAACAGTTGAAAGAAAAAGGCTGACTGGTGCTGGTTGCCCTAAATATCCTCTTTTACTTTCTGGAAAAATCAGGCTGTGGATATAGCATGGGTATATTACAATAGCTGGTCCCCCACATTGCTGTTTCATGAGTTTATCAGTCTAGCAGATCTAAAAACAACCAAATAAATCACTCAAATCAGGCAGGAAGCTAACAGATTTGCCCACCTGTTTATTAATAAGCACATACACACGAACCTATATTTCTGTATTAGACCACGGCTCTGTGTCTCCTGTGGGTATAAAAAGAAAAACACCTGGCAAAGAGTGAATGCAGCAAGGCAAGCACAAAGTTTCCACAGCAAACATATTTGTGTTTGCTGAGCAAGTGTTGCCTTAGGAAGGCAGGCGAGGTGAGCAGCTCCCGCTCTAGCAGAGCTGGTTGCCGAGCTCAGAAGGAGCTGGCTTTCCAACAGCTATAGCTTTTTGGATCACAGTTAGATAGAGGACAGAGATGAAAGACGGTTCCTGCGGGCATCCTTCCAGCCCCTCTCTTGGTGCAGACCACGCATTCCTCCACACGCTTCTTCCTCGGAGCTTGGCTTCAGCAAGGAGCCAGCAGACACTGGGAAGCAGAGCCTGGGTGTTTTATTTTGCTGGGGTTGATTGCATCCTCAGGGCTGCAATCCTGTTCCTCACCCTTGTGGAAATGGCTCTGCCCTGTGTTCGCTCTGCTGATTCGCAGCAGAGCCTTTCCCCGCATCAGCACAGAGGGCAGAGGTGTTTTGCAGTGAACCTTTCCTGGGTGGATTCATGGTCACTGGCTGGCAGAGCTGTACAGGGTAAAGGACAAAGCTGTTAAGGGGTAAAGGACAAAGGAGACATGGGGAGGAAGCTGCGGGAAAAGCATGGTTAGGGTGTGAGAGGGCCAGGGGTACAGACCCTGGGAAGAAGAACGTTGGGAATGACTGGCTGTGTTGTTCACATGCTGTGAGATGGAGATAGACAAGGATGAGTAGGTATGTCCATCCTGATGACTCCTCTTCTTTTGCCTTCTCATTCCTGCGAAAAGGAGATGTCAGGTTCATGCTAAAGTGTGCTCTGAGCCTAGTGGTCACGCCTAGGCCTGACTTCTCTAACATATTTATAAAACGTTGGGTCCTGCTGCCCACCTTGCTCCATCAGTCATGACCATAAAGATTCTTTTTATGAAACTGCTGAACATCACAACCATATTCCACAGTTTTATTTAACATGGTGAATTTGCAGAGCACTCAGAAGCAAAATCTGACTGTTTAAAACAACCACTGTGATCTTTTCTCAGAGTTTGGTATGTGAGGGAAGGAGGAGCAGAAGTGCTGGAATGGGCTGTGATTCAGCTGCAGGTATGGCTGATAGCTGGAGTGACCTGCATTTTCTGCCTGGGATCTGCTCTATTTAGCCAGAATTACAAGATGCGGTGAACCACCATTCCATCCTTGCACTGAAACCCTTGAACAGTCTGAACAAATAGCATCCAAATGTTTTATGTCAGCAGCTACTATCTGTAATGGGATCTCTCAAAGAGAAGCTTTGGAAGACAGCAGGCAAAGGATTTTTTTTTGGGGTGGATAGAACCCTTTTGAGCCAGGATTGAAAGTAGAGAGGTGTTCTCATGTTCATTTAGGGTAAGTATCATCAGAAACATGTAGGAACTAGTTTGGACAGATTGTAGCTACAGCAAATTGCTGAAAATAATGGTTTCCTGAAATCCTTTGGCCTCCCTAGACTGAGGGAGGTCTGCTGTTTTAGGAACTAACCAAACTAGGTATCTCAGATGCAGCCTTCCTTAATGGGCAAGCATAAAGATACTCCATCTACTAGGCCTGTCTTGGCTGTTCCCAGATGTTATTTCATTAATGAAAAATAGCAGTGAATATTGAAAGCTGTGGAAAGTATAGACTGCCAGACATTTGAAATAGCAGCGAGGAAGGCTAGACATGTTTAAGCAATAGCAGGGGATGGGTCACCTAATTTTGCTGCAACAGTCTTACTTCCATCTGGTTCTGTCTGCCGGGCCCAAGGCTAAGGATAATTAACCTGTGGAAATCTTTGCCAAAGCACAAAAATCCGATGAGCCTACAAATGGGTCGCACTCATTCTCTTTCACTCTTAAAATAAAATAATGAGTAATAGCATTAGTTTGTGGAAACTGTTAAAAGCAACACACTTAGTTAGACATATGCACATTAGGTGACTGCCAGACATAAAAGATGAGGGAAATATCTCTTTGCATAAGTGTGTTGTTGCATGATTTCTGGTAGGAGGGCTTTGGCAAATCTTAGAGCCTGCACCGCTGAGCGGCTGGACATTGTTTGGGATATGTATGAAAATTTCAGTGATCTGGTCGTTCTATAGCTATTTCTGAAGGAACTTCAGGAGGCAGCTGCTAACACAGCGAGCTGCATACTTTTAAACAAATAAAGGGATTTAGGTTAAATATTAACTTTTGGTCATTTCAAATCTGATAGCTTTGGCCTTCAGGTTGATCATTTAATGAGCTCCTTCCCGTTGCTACAGCAACTGCAGCCCTGGAAGACCTTGATGTTCAAGTCAGCAAAAAAAAGAAAAAATAAAATGCAGCTAGGTCTGAAATTTGTTTAGGCTTCTATTGATAAGTGTCTGTGTTGCGAGTCAATTGTTCAGACAAACAAGGCTTGGAAATGTACCATGGAGTTTAATGCAATCCTTGCGAAACCCTATCCTAATCCATCGGCTCTTGCGCATTTGGAAAAAAAAAAAAAAAATTAAATTTGTGCCCTCCTCATGACATGCACTAAACCATTCAGTGGTGTTGTTTTAAGAAAGCAAACATACTCGTTTGTTCTTCTTGCTGAGTTGTCGTTGTACACGATGTAATTTTGGCCCGTGAATGTGTTTGCCCTCTGCAATGCGCCGTGCACCACTGGGACGTCGGAGGTGTGATATAAGCTAACTTTTGGGAGAACAGTCCTCATTAGTGTCCCCCTTCAGCACGTGTTTGTTCATAGCATCGCAGCAGACATCAGCTTCTTCTCTATCCCTTTCAAGTACAACTTCTGGCCAGAATGTCCTTCCATTTGGACCTCTCTCAGATTTAAAGCAGTCACGATCTCCCCTCCTTGCTGATCTCTTGTTCAAACAGTAGCTGAGATGGCTCTTCAGCTGGGGTGGATCCGTATTGTCTGATGGGAGTCCCTGCAGCTGCACCTTTTCAAGCCAGATGAGGAGTTGCCTAGTCCTTTAGCAGGAGAAACTCTTTGGTTCTGTCCTCTCCTCCAAATATTAATCTAACCCTGTGCTTTGAGTTATCTTCCCCTTAATTTTGAAGGGCAACTCTTTGGTTGTAGTGCTGTGCCAGGACCATTGCACCTCACCTCTGGTAGGAACATAGATCCAGAATGTGGATGTAAGTAGAATCCACATATTTTTCTTCCCAGGGAGAGGTCTCTCTCATGGAGGTATCATCATTTTAGTGGAATTTAGAGCTACAGATGTCTACCTTAGTGCTCACCAAAGCTGCTGTTATGTTTGGTGTATAGCCCTGAGGGCACGATGTTTGTGTCATGTTTCACAATTGTTTTAAAACATAAAGTTTTATGGCTTGAGCTAAAGTACAGCTGCCAGGAAATGGCTTTTCCTGTCCTGTGGAGTGCTTGCAACTGTCAAAAACAGTCTTGCTCTGTGCTGAGATGGACTGATAGCCCTCAAAAACTTGAGCACTGAAGTAGCTCATTGAAACTAGCTAATGCTCTGGTAATTCATGTTTCTTTGGAGGAAGGAGAGATGTGTTCAAATTTAGTCTTAATCAAGGATACCTGGATCCGATTTCCCCTGCACCAGGAGTGGCCAGCTGGGCCAATAATTAATTGCTACGTCAGGTTTTTCTGTTTCTGCTTTGCTTTTGAAAAGTCTCGAGATCAATTTTGTAGTGACAACTTCAGTAGAAATGCTGTTATTTCCAGAACTATTTCAAAAATAGTATTTTTTGTCAAAACTCCTAGAATATTTTTTTATCCAAAGCCTTTTGAAGTCGGCGAAAAACTCTTCTTTGCTTCAAGAGAATTTTAATTTATTTTCAAAATACTGGGCTAAATACACAATCACATTAGGAACTTGCTCTCTCGATGGAGGTCTGTATCTATCATTGCTTTTCGTCTGCACTGATGAAAAAGAGGAAGGGGCCTATTAGATAAAAATCTGGGCTTCACAGTGGTTTGGAGAAATAAGGTGCAACAATCACAGTGGTTTGGAGAAATAAGGTGCAACAATCATTTGGCTTTCTTGACTGCTGGAAAATAGCCCAGCAAGGACAGCTTGCTGCAAAGGACAAGCATGACCACACAGAGACATCCTGGTCACACATGTGTTAACATGAATTCACTCTGTGATTTAAGAGGAAGAAAAAAAAAGGAGGGGGAAAACAAAAACAAACTCTAAACCAGCAACACAGCCCTTCCTTCCCCCTTGAAATTTTTGGCTGATAAAACACCATAGATTTAAACAGGTCTGGAAGAAATTCAAGAGGCAATAGTTGCAACATCATTGTTTCTTTCCTTTTTTTTTTTTTTAAGCATCTATGTAATTAAAACCAAACGGCAACAAAAGACAAATGAAATCACCTCTCCACCTAACTTCTTCCACAGGCCCGCGTGCTCGCACACACACAGTCTTGGTGAGCTCTTAGCCTGGACGTGGTTCAAGTCGTGGAGGGATCCAATTCTTCTTGTGAAGACGAAGAAAGGAAAGCAGCCAACTTCATGCATCAAGTGGAACACTAATCCTGAACTACGAGGAACAACTTCCAAGCCTTCAGATGGTGAATTATTTATCTGCTGACATAGAACAATATGCACTTTGTAGTCAATGTACGAGATTCCCCAGTGTGTGTCGCGCTAGAAAGTAAGGGGGTGTGGAGTTATATAATTATCTTCCTGTTTTTTTTTCTTCTTTTTGTTTTTTTTTTTTTTTTTCATGGGGGCAACACCCGCTCCCTCCACAGCTCTAAAATCTCTAATGAGCCACAAGGGAATCCAAATGTCTCCAGCAGCTCCTTTTGAGGTGTTTGATTATTATGTTTCTAGGGCCAAAGGATGGTTTTGGCAAAACTCATAGGAGTCGAAGCCCTGGGATTATCTGTCAGTCCCCAGGATGGTTTCAGCAGAGCATCCCAAAGGGCCCCAATCAGTGTGCTAGGGTTTCCTCTTAGTTCCCTCCTTTTTTTTTGTTTTTTTTTCCCCCTCTCCTGTGTTTTATTATTTCTCTGGCTTTTTGTTTTGTCTGCAAGCGCTCACTGCAGGACTGTAGTCTCCATCACTGCCTGTAAAACACTGATCCCACCCCTGCTGACGGGAGGAGAATAGAAGCAGGGTTCATTCTTCACCAGGCAAGAGCCACCTTGGAAAGCGAGGCTTTGCCTTGGCATCTTCTGCTGTGATTTCTTTGCTTGAAGTCTTGTGTCTTGTCTGGAAAGGCCTGGACTTGGGTTGTTTCTAAGAACTACCCAAGCTGTCATGACTTTTCTACAGCATTGTAAAAAAAAAAAAAAAAAAATATATATATATATATAAACAAATTAGCTTTTATAATTAGCAGCTATCTAGAATGAGAAGACTTTATATCTCATGACTGAATCTTCAAACTAGTTTTAATTCTTTTAACTTTTCTGCAGACCATTGCCTGTGACTAGCGAACTGGTGTCGTGCTTCCCATCATCCCTGCAGCTGCCTGAAGTGCCAGAAACAGAGCTAGTGCTACCCCTTTTCTAAAAGGCCCCTGCGTATTTACCCTGAAGGATGTAATTCCATCTTATGAGCCATAAAAAAAGAAAAAAAATCAGCTATTTAGACGTGTTGAACACACCGATGTCCTGATGGGAATGAGTGCAGGTGACTGGTAGACAAGTATCATTTCCTTGCAACCGGACCAGGAATGTTCCTGCCCTCTGTGTCAACTTTTTGAAGGGAGGCCCGGGGCTCAAGAGAGAGGGGCTTTTCCTGCAGCTGGTCACCCAGGTCAGGGTTCGGGCACATTGCGTTGCCCTTCTCTGTTTGGTAGATCAATAGAGGACTTCAGTCTCCACCATTTCAGCACCTTTCATCAGAGCTCTGCTCTCTTGCATTCAATGTGTGAACCAGTTTCATGTGCAATTATTGTAAAAGGTATCTCAAGATTGCACCTGGGGATAAGGGTGCAGGTATTTTTTTGCCCAGGTGCATTGGCTCTGCTCTTAGAAACGACGGCTTTTGGTGCATAGCCCTCAAAGCAGAAAAGCATGAAAAAAATACAGGGCTGAGGGAACGAAAAGAAGGTCAGGGATGTGATGGTTCCATCTCAGATTCTGCCATGAAATAACTTCACACGTTCTATTTCAGAGAGCTCAGTGGGAAACGAGGCATCTTTTAACAGCAATATTGTGGACAGGATGCCAAAAATAAACCTTTTTTTGTGTGTGTGTGCCTGAGGAAGCCACTGTCAGCTCTTGCAGTGTCATTCAGAGCAGGAGAAAGCAATGTGGAAGCGCAAGCAAATGCTTTTTTTTTCCTGGGCTAAAGTAAGAACTAGTTCTCATGGTGGTCTGGGGATTTACTGGTGGAAAGCTGGCGAGACCTTGCTGTGTTAAAGGAGATGGGAGACCAGCTCTACCGAGACTGCTCAGGCTAAGTATCAGTGAAGCTGTGGATTGCATCTGTTCTCTTAGGCTCAGCTCCCTACCTTGGTGGTTGTTTTTGCAAAAGAGCATTGATTGCTGTAACTGCTGATTAGCACTTTTTTTGATAAAGGTACTATAAACCACAGCTTTATCTTGTGTTATCAGCTCCAGCAAAGGGAGAAACCACAGACGTGAAGCTTTGCAACCTTTTCTGCTTTCAGCCAGCCAGGTCAGCACAATAACAGAGCTCACGTATATATCTCCTTTAAGGGTCTTTGTTTCTTTTTCTCAGCATTGCAAACATGTGCAGCGCTCTCTGCAAACATCTAATCCCCAACCATAATGTGCCTGAATGGCCTAACTATTTCCAGCCTTCATCACCTTCACTGTCCTGGGCAGGGATTGCCAAAGTTGCTCTTTGCCTTCGCTTTCTCTGTGCTTGCACAATTTTCCTGTTGAGCACGTTGCAGAACAGCCTGGTGCCTGATGAAATATCTTGCAGATTTGACAGGACACAGTGTAGATCTTCACGCTGCAGGCTCGCAGCAAAAAGCTGCACGTTGCAATGGGCTCTGCTCTGAAGCCAGAAGGCTTCACACTTCCTGATCACTGTATTAATGCTAAAGGCAATGCTGTGGTCTGGTGTTCTGAAAAAGAAACAACTCAACCTTGCACTGAGTTCAGATTTGCATTCAGAACCGATGGCCTTTCATACTACAGAGTTTTCTGCCTTAAGACCTTTTCATTGATAATTTGGGGATGCCAGCAATGCCAAAGCGTTTTGCAGTATGTATTCAGAGTGATATTCAGTGCAATGAGCGTGCATTAGGGGTAGAGGTAATGTAAGGGTATTTGGGTTGTTTGCACTGCTGAAATTCTCTATTGCCTCTTTAGAGCTGCACGTGCCCAGGTCTCCTTAATTCAAATTGTGCTGCTTCTGTGCTCGTGTTTGCTTTGCACTGGTAGAAATGGCTCTGCCTGGGTGTCAGCAGGAGGGGTACATGTGGGAGCTCAGCTGAACGTGTCCTTGGTGGTTGCAATTGTGCTGCCCTCTCTGCCCTGCCATCACCTGGGCCTGCACTCCGCGGAGCAGAGATCAGCCTGCATCTCCTAGAGAGCTGCCTGGGGACCGAGAAGGAAAGTGCCTCCGGAACAGGCGTCTGCAGCAGGGGCTGAGGTGCTCCTCTGCCTCTAGTCCAACACGATCTCTTTGGTCACATTTGGACACCAGGGAAGCGGGTACAGGAACGGCCCAACCTTGTATTTCCTGATGAGCTGCTCAGCATCGTTTGTGGTCATCGTTTTGTAAATATTTCTTCAGGAGAGGTTTGTTCTCCTCCCAGCTGCAGGTTACAGCGTGTTGTGAGATTGGCTTGCAACAGTTTTGTACTCAGAAGCTCAGGTGCTTGGTCCAAGCATTTACTTAAAGATATATTGTTCTAGATTCATTTGAAATGTGGTTAATTTTTTGGACAATGAAGCAGTTGATTGCTTGCTGCAGGATAACTGTGCACACCTGTACAGGCAAAACAACACAGGTGACTGCTCTAAGCACCCTAAGTTACATTTTTTACATTCAATTGGTATGGGTATTTTAGCACCCAGTTCCTTAAAGACTGGAGAGCTTTAAGGAGGAAAGATTTTCCCTTTGCTTTGGAGTTTCTCCTTTATCTCTTCCCTTTCTAATAATATCACTCTTTCCTCATGTCTTTGCTGAAAGCTTTTTCTGTGTTAAATAATGCTGCAGATGGAGCAAAGCAGCCTTGCTCAGGAGTGAGCAGTGCCTTTCTGTGTAGAAACGGGCCACCAAAAGCAGTGTCCTCTCCTGCAGCCTCCAATCTCCTCTGGAGAGCAGCGTGCTGATCTCAGCAGGCCTTGTACCTCCCCCAGGATCCATATGGCTCTGTGTGCTGAGTGGATTTGTCCTGGGTGCTATGACAATGCCAGACATTGTGAAATCTGGATAGCTTTGACTTCTATGAACTTGGAGGTGAATGTGTGGCTTCCTAGGCTGAGGCCTGGTAGGAATCCACATAAGAATAAATAAGTTTGTGTTTCTGATGCCCTGAGCTTTGGAGAACTTGGCCTTTAGTTCTCATGGGTGTTTGTTGATGGCAAGTCCTCTCCTCCTGAGAAAGGCACAGCTCTGGGACTGCTGACAAGGCTCATTGAGCTGGAAACGTGACCCTCTGTAACTCTTTTTGGACCCTGTATCTGCTTAGCAAGTCTTTCACTTTAACCTGTGCACTCATGTGGCACGTTTTTAATCCTTCACTGTTTCTGCAGAACAGTTAAAGTGAGGGATCATCACTCAACCTTCCATGTCCCTAACAAGGGCACCGAGCGAGCCAAGAGGAGCGTGTCGCATGTGCCCCGTGCAAGATCAAGCCAGGGCCTGGCAGGAGGAAGTCGGGGCACCAAATTCTGCAGTAAGGTGATGCTACAAAGCCTGGCCACAGTGGGTTACCTGCCCACAAACATGGGCTCTCCTCATTCCTCGTAGTGATAGGGCTGCAAGGAGCTGAGCGTTTCTGTGAGAAAGAACAACACAGGAGTAAACAGCCTTGAGCTCCAAACATGTCTTGGTTGGTTGCTCCTGTTTTCCCATCTGAGAAGCAGTTCAGCTAAGGGAAAGGTGATTGAACTGTTACCAAAGGGGAAAAAACACCTATTAAATGTCTGAACATTGAAATACTGGAAACAGATCCCTTGTGTGAGTGACTGTTTGCCTTGGCCGCTGACCTGTCCTCACCAATCTTCTCTCTCTCTTTTTTTTTTTTTTTTGCTGCTTACAAAACTGTGTTTGAGAGCTCTAGGATGGTCACTGACATGGAGAGGAGCAGGGCTGCGATGGTGTCCTCGTCTGTACCAGTAAACAGGGTAGCCTGGAGAAATGGTGACAACAACAGGACATTTGAGCCCTTTGCGGATATCTGGAGATTAAGGAAGGGAGAGGAAAGGGACGCTCGCTGCACGTGACCAAAGTTAGAGCATTGAAAGTAAAAGGCTTAGACTGAGCGATGGAAACTGTAGGTTTAAATGTCAGAGTTTATTTCCTAGCTGTTTTCTGTCAAGTTGTTGGATAATCCCAAAGGGAAGAGGTGAAAATCTCATGCACAGAGATTTCTCAAATTTTCTTTGGATTAAGGGTGCTGCAGAGAACAGAT